CTGATATCCACATTCATGTTTCTTCTCATACCCAACCATTAAACAAAGAAATGATACTCTAGGGAATGACACGCGGTCTGAAATGGGAAAACATTACGACCAAGCTAAAAAGGTCTATTACTTGAGCAAAACAGCCCAAGAGATCTGGGATTTTGGCTCCAGTTTATCAAAAAAACTAATTCAGACCGTTGGAAAATTGACGGAAACCAAAAACCAAGACGTCTTGAATTATAGATAGATTACCCGTGCGAACTGCACTAGACACTATCATGAATGTGTTAAATATCCCTGCGAATTATTCTTTGTTTATGTGACAGGTGTCGTGTCAAGCACAGTACGACTTTTCTCTCCGTTCCATGCGCTCTGTGATCACTCTCGCTAGTAAACAGTTAAGACAAGACTTGAAGAAAAAGGCCAGCGAAAAAGAGTCTGAAGGAGAAGATAATAAAGAAGGTTTGTAAAGCTATTTTAAAAAAAGGTTGTGAAAGTATTGTTGCATGTTGCGTGTTACATACCAGGCCCGAACTGCACTACGGGGTGACGCGAACGCAATCAGCGAAAGGCCACAATATATGAAATTTTCTCCAACTTTGTCTTGCTGCATGTTGCGTGTCACATACCAGGCCCGAACTGCACTATCGGGTGATGTGAATAGTTTTCTCCGACTTTGTCTGCCCATTTTTTCGTCGTAATTTCTTCTGTGCTGACATCATTTACGAATGAATATAATATAATTCAACATCCAGCATGCAACATGTAGCAAAACCTTCAMCAACGTATTATGAAATAGGCCGTATATAGATATTCACTTTGTAGTATAGGATATATGAGAAAAGTATTAAATAAATTCCAATTTACTGCCGCTTGCTCCACACAAAAATCTTCAATGATTACAAGCCAATAGTCCCCATCACAGTTCCCTGCGCCATCTTGAAAGGTAGCCGTGCGGTGAGCTTGCAATGATAGAGTCTTGTGAATAATTACCCAAGGGGTTAAAAAAAGGTCTCGCTTTCATTCAAAGGCACGGCTACCTTTCAAGATGGCGCAGGGACCTGTGAAGGGGACTTTGATTGTAGCCCAAGGGTCGTTTCAGGGCATTGACAAAATTTGAAAGGTAGTCAATATTTTGCAGCGTAATGACTTATAATGTTAACTTTAATATTTATACCGCGTATATTGTTTCATATGCTCACATGCACGCAGGTAATGATAACATTTGAATGCATAAATAACGTTTTATCGTTAACGTTTATTATCGTTAGCACCAACCCGAAGTCCATTCTTGGAGAGTTTTGAACGTCGTCAAACCGAAGAAAACTCTGTCGTACATGGCATCTTCAACTTCTTTGGAAACAAGCTCGAGTCATCAGACAGAGAGGTTTTCTCTGCGACGCTTGATTCAGTGTTTGTCCACAGTGTGTTGATGTCTATGTCTACTGAAGGAGATCCTGTACTCCAAGATGAGCTAAAAGAGTACTTCCAAGCCAATGGTTTACAAATAAGACCGGAAATGATCTCCAAAGTAAGTTCGTGATTCGAGGATTTTTTTCGGGGTTCTCTGGTTTCCCTTCGCCTCTGCAAAACCAAACATACTAAATTCCAATAGAGGTTTTGCACCATCACGTGCCCATCCCATAATACTGCTTGGGCTTCCTGTGGTTAGATGGCAAAACAATATAATGCCTTTGCTCTCGGAAATTGAATTCTTTCTCATGTAAAACGATTGTATTGTTCCTGCCATCTAACATGGCTGCCGTCACGTGATGGTGCAAAACCTCTATTCGGTTTCTGTGAGTCAGCCTTGTCGCCTTGATAATTCTAGTGGTTGTTTCTGAATGCGCGACTTGCAATTGGCTGGCCATGTCTTTGTTGATATCAAATTGCTTAGATTCATAGAGATCCTTGTTAATATTTGCACGTGCGGATTCAAACTTGACTGCCACATTTTCAAAGTGAGGAGGGGTAATTTGGGTAGGATCGCTTGGAGATTCTCGAAAAACTATGAATTTTTTACTGAGATAAAGGGGGAAGGCTACAATCGTTTTAAAAGAGTTTACCACGAATCCCCCAGCCCTCCCCTCTTAAACAAAAATTGTACCTTCCCTTATTGCACTCTAAGTACTAAATGCAGCTTTTATTTATGTTTACAGGCTCTACAGTTATATCAGAGTATTCAAAGCAATGGTAAAATCATAGTCCTCGGCTCTGCAGGATCCGGTAAAACCACCCTACATCAGGCCTTAACTGGAGCTGTGAACAACCTGAACACTAGACTTTCAGTCAACTTACCTCCGCGCAAAACACCAAAAACTACCAGTGTCCATTCTGAGATGACAGTCGATGTGGAGAGCAGTAAGCTATGGCCCAAAATAGACGTTATGGTTGTATACCCTAAATCTATGACCAACGATGAGGTGAGCTACCATGGATATTGATTGCATGGGGATCGGAGGGTGGTCAACAGCATGAAGATTAACTGATCCCCCACCCCTAACCTGAGTATCAGTCCTCCCCCTCCCCTGGCGTCTGATACTCAGGTTACCCACCCCAAAGAGACACTATATTTCTTTATTAACTCTTACTTATTAGTGGTTACTACTGAGTGATCTTCCCTTTGGTTCCTGTCAATATTCACTTGATCCTCCCTCCAGTTGTCAAAAAAAATGTGATCCCCCTAATCCTAATACCCCAGGCAATAACTTATGACCACTCCCTTAGAGACTTCCTCCTCCCCTCCAGACCCCGTCGGCTACCTCACATAGAAGGCTGCTTACGCAGGCTACCTAATCGTAGATGAAGTAAAACAAGCAGGGCACAGGCAGCATTAGGCAAACTATATTAAATAGGCTAACTTCGATATCTTAAAATACTGCCATGATAGTACTTCATTTATTCTACTAAAATGTGATTATCATCAAAAAATTTTGTGATGAATAAAACATTGCATCATACATGACGTTTCTATCCTGCTTTTTTTGCCTATATAATTTTAGCTATTCGGGCGAATGGACAGTTCAGCAAATCTCTGGCGTGACGGACTCATCAGCAAATACTTGCGTGACACAAACACATCAGCGCATACGAAAAATGAACTACAGTCACTTTCATTAGAAGAGAAGCAGCGTGTCTTCCGAGGGATGGCAGATCTGTCTCGTGTGGAAAAGTGGCTTGTGTTTGATGGTCCTCTGGATGACTTTTGGATGGGGCCATTGAATACCGTACTGGATAATACCCGGGCGCTGTCTTTGGGCAATGGGGGCTCCATTACTGTACCAGGTAAAGTAAATATAAATGTGTATTTGAAACATTATTGAAACTAAACCAAAGTATCGGATAATACCCGGGCGCTGTCTTTGGGCAAGGGTAGCCCCCTCATCGTACCATATAATTCAAACGTAAATCCACTGAATCGAGAAACAAAGAAAAGATTGGACCCCTCTAATGACTTGAATGATCACATTAATCGGTTTTTACCTTTTTTTCAGATACCGTCAATATATTGTTTGAAACGACTGACCTGAGCCTGGCTTCGCCTTCACTGGTAACCCGCTGCTCTGTCGTGCATTGTCCTGATACTCTGATTGGATGGAAATCTTTTTTGAGGTCATGGATCAAGACAGCTCACTCCAAGTGGGAAATTTCGAGTCGAGGGTAAGTGCAAATTAGCATCTCATTGACTCTTTTTGCTCTTTGGGCTTCCTGTGGCGAGGACAAAAGATTTAATATAGGGATCCCAACAGAGAATATAGAATATATGGAGTAGCCTGCGGATTAGGCTAAGTGCAAATAAGTTAAAAGAGATACTTGCTTTGGCTTACTTCTTTTCTTTGATAAGAGGGTTAGTTATTGGTGTTGCCCAGCATTCACCCTCCATACCTAAAATTTAACGTCAATTTTTATGGTAAAAATTTCTAATGACGTTGTACATATATTTTCTGTGGGCGCATTTTCGATCCAGTTTCAATGCCCTTGAAAAAGATTCCTAACCTGTTCAACCAGTTTCGTTTCTCTTTAGGAAAAAAAAAACGATTTTTAGGCTTTGTAGCTTCACTTCACGAATAATTAATTCAACTCTTTTTTTTTTTTCGAGAAGAAATCCATTCACGTAGTTAGAGCTTTCGATTTTTCGATTAGAATCGATTTTTCGTAAAGCCCCGTTTACACTGGCGATTTTTGCGGCGATTTTGCGGCGATTTTTGTGGCAATTTTCGGGAATATGAAATCTTTTGTCTCATCCTTCAAAAGAGACATTCGTCTAGGAAAACCTTGGTATCCTGAAAAAAACTTTACAAGTAAATCCTTTACCATTATTTATTATGGAAAAAATCGCAAAAAAAACCGCAGCAAAAATCGCTAGTGTAAACGGGGCTTAGGAAAACTGAGAAGGCCCTAGGTACGAGATGGCATAAATCTTGAAAATCAGATTTTCATATTTTAGATTTTTTACGTTAATAAATGTTATTAATAAACTATTTTTATTATTCCAAAAGGCTTGGTATCATCTCAAATCTAATGGATCATGTAGTTGAATCAACACTGGAATTTCTTCAGAAGAACTGTAGCCCCATCCTTAACACCGACTGCGGCACCAAAACAGCCCCAGCCTCCCCCTCTAGGGGTACTTATGAAGTACAGACGCTTCTTCGATATCTGTCAGCCCTGTTTGATTCTCACATCTTGCGCGAGACTGAAGATCATCATCATCTTCAGGGCTTGCATCACAAGGGAAGTATATCAGTGGCAGGGCCGACTGGTAGCCGTCATAATTCTGGGATTTCTTCCAGTGACTCAGGAAAAGTGATTTCAGCTTTTGCTTTTGCCTTCGTGTGGTCGTTTGGAGGTCATATCCACCACAGGTATTCCATAAGTTTCATTTAGACATTTATTTGCTTAGCTGTTGGGCAGAACAAGAAGCATGAATATGCAGATACAACTCTAGCAAAGAGTATTATGCTAAAAAAGGTTGACTCCCAAGCTAAAGAAGACTATAGGGCGTTTTCACTCAGTCCCTAGAGAGTTAACTGAAATATTGCAAAATATTAAACTAACGGCAAAGTTATTGTCAAAGGTATACTAATAGTGCAGTTTTCGTATGACTGTGAAAAGCTCAGTGCCGTGCCGTGACCGTGATGTTTTCTAGAACTTTAATTGGCTGATTTTTTTCTCGCGCNCGTGACCGTGATGTTTTCTAGAACTTTAATTGGCTGATTTTTTTCTCGCGCAATGTGATTGGTCTGAAAGTGCCGTGACTTTGGCGTGACCGTGTTTAAGCCGTGTTCTTGGCATTTGATTGGATGGAGAGTGAATTCTCGAGCAATGTGATTGGTCTGGCGTATTCCTAGGCGTGTCAAGAACGTGTTCGTGACGTGAGCTTTTCACAGTCATGCGAAAACTGTTCTATGGCGGCTATAATTACTGATCTTATCAAAATCCATTGTTTTCAGTCTGCATTATCCTAACGAATGCATAGAGGAAAATCAGACATATTTAGTTCATTCATTATTGGCTTTGTTTCTATGATAAACAAGCTAGAAAGAAAACAATTGGATTTTGATAAGAACAATAACTATACTAGATAATGACTGAGGCACGCAGCATTCGTAGGTATAATGCAGGCAGCTTCGGGCTACGCCCTCAGCTGCCTGCATTATACCTACGAATGCTGCGTGCCTCAGTCATTATCTATTAAGTAACGTCATGTGAAAACGCTCTGTAGACTCTAACAATTAAGACTCTAATTCCCATGTTCCACGCACTTTTCTACAAAATGTTCCTACTGCCCTGTTTGTCCTGATAAACAAAAATAATTCCTTTGCACTTCCTTTACAGATACAAAGATGCATTCGACGAGCATGCGCGCAAGATACTCTCCTCAGGTCCCTATCCAGCCACAATACCAGAGGATGGCCTGGTGTACGATTACTATTTGGACTTCTTTAAAGGAACGTTGGTCAAATGGGAAGAAAGACCTGGTGCTCAGTTTAAGACCTTGGCATCGTCCTTCACTGTCGTTCCTGAGGTAATGACCAAAGAATGTAGACTCCTCACGACAAATTCCTACCTAGGGAAGGGGGATCACTAAATTAAAAGTTGCAATCCTCAACATAGATTTTTTTTTTCAACTGACTTTTTTAAAATTATATACCAATTTCTCACATGTAGCTATTCGTATATCCAAAGAGGAAATCATTACTACCTACGCAACGCTTTTACATTATTTATCTAGCAAACAATTCGTGACTTCAAACCTACCTAGACATTCTTGGAATTATCTTATAGGCAAATCGTGACGGATCAGACACGTAGATCATCGCTTCATTTCGTATTCCTTATTTGTTTTTCCCAGCTTGATCGTTACTTCTTTTTAATGGATCTGATGATTTCTGCACATCAACCAGTTCTCTTAGTTGGGAACACAGGTTCGGGAAAATCTGCCTTAATCCAGGTGAATACCAGAAAAGGGTTTAGTCACCCATCCATTTAACGTATTTCATCCCAACAATTAATCCCATTTATCCATCTTTCCAATGAACCATCTAACCACCCATTCATTTGTCTACACATCCATCTATACCATCCTGTCCAACCATCTATTTTAGCTATCATTCCATTCATCCCTAACTCATCAATCCAACCATCCAATCCCACTACCTGATTCTCATCCATCTATCCCTCCTCCCATCAATCCACTTCCTCTCCCCATCCCTCCCTCGCTCCCTCCCTCGCTCCCTCCCTCCCTCCCCTTTTCCCATCCAACCATCTACATCTTAAATGCACTAATTCATTGTGCTTGTTAAAAAATCTTTTCTAATACTACATACCGTTATATTAAGAACCTCATTAGTCCGCGCCATTCGTACCAACGAATCTTCATGTCTCCTGGATTCTCGTGTAAACTACTGCAAGAAAACATCGAATCCAAAGTTAATCAAGTAAAACAACGTGATCTAAGACAAGTTGTTAGCCACCACAACATATCTGAGGGTGAGCTGGCATCCAGCACTAAATCCAAGTCCCAGCTCTTGTTTTTAGATGATCTTAGCTATTCTGGTGCAGATGAAAGTGGTGCTCAACCACCCCTCGAGTTACTGAGACAAATACTTGCTGAAGGTAGGGCAGATTCATGATAGCAATTTTACAGAAATACATTATCACAATGTTCTATTTGTCCTTTTGTTTCCCACGCCTTCACCCATTTCTTCTTTTCTTAATTTCCCATTTCTCTCACTTCCTCTCTAATCCCTCAGTTTTTTTTTCTCCCTTTTTTTCTTTCTTTCTTTCTTCCTTCCTTGCTTCTTTCCTTGCTTCCTTGTATCCTTGCTTTCTTCCTTCTTTGCTTTCGAGTCCGTCCATCCTTTTAATTACTAATAACTTCTTTACTCTCCCTCCCTCCCTCTCTCCCTCCCTCCGTTCTCATTTTCTCCTTACCTCCTCCTTTCTTTTTTTTTTCTTTGCCTCACTTTTCGTCTTTCCTTTTTTTATACCAAATTATCCCATCCAAGCAATATTTGTGTCATTTCCATATATTCCTTCATTCCTCTTATAACCATCTCTTTCCTTCAGGTTATTTATACGACAAAGAGACGAATCAATGTAACCCAGTTCAAAACATTCAGTTCCTAGCTACAGCAGTACCTCCCAGTTCCACCAGTGTGGGTAGTGGAGTCGCCAGTCACGTGCTGAGCCCTCGATTGACTCGTCTCATGACCGTACTGTCATTCTTTCCTGTCAGCTCGGAGACGCTGACGGTCATCTACTCGGGCGTCTTTCATGCCTGGCTACAGGAGTTCCCTGCCTACTCTCTGACACACCACTCACTTATTGCGAAGGTAGGAAGACTCATAACAATGCGCAGCACTAAAGAGGGCTTGTTAGTGAATAAAAATGCAAACCTACAGACAAAAACACCTTTTGACCCAAAAGGTTTATTCGCAGACGTGTGTCGGCGTGGAGCAGTGGACGTGGAGCTCTCTAATATAGTATAGCGGCACGTCATAATAATCACAAATTCCAACGGTGAATTAAAGAATACATGCACAACTTCAGTCAACAATACAAACACTTTAATGTAACATGACCTTAAATGTAACACGTGAATTTTCTACTCAAAATCATTGCTAACCCTGAGCAACACAGAACTGGAAACTGGAGTTTGTGTAATATTTTGAGTGTTGAGTAAACATCCTTTTCAATCAAAGCGTTTTCTTTTGTTTTCTTTTGCCTGCAGGCTATGGCAAGTGCAGCTGTCAATTTATTTGACAAGATTCGTGAAGAACTTCGTCCAACTCCTTTGAACCCTCACTTTATTTTCACCCAGCACGATCTTGCACGAGTTGCACAAAGTATGTCTTTATTCTCAACGACTTCCCGCTCTCGACCACGGCCTCGGATCAGGAGACGTGGTACAGAAAGAGGAACGTCCATATACTCGAGCAGAACAGATATTCTGGGTGAATTGAATGGAAATGATTATGATCTGGTTGGAAAGGATAGCAAGAAAATCGGGCAGGATAGTAGGTAAGTTGCCAGGTGCTGCATGGAAAACAAAACAACAACAAGACAAAAGAGCTGAATATAGAATAAAACAGTAAATGGAACGATGGAACAAAGTTGGAAAGATGTATGAAGGAGCAAGGGGAGACAACAACAGCTGGAACGTCAACTACAACAACAGCAGCAGCAGCAGTAGCGTCACTAGCAACTATGCCACATCAACAACTACAAAAGTAGCAGCTACACTACCATCAGTAGTGCAGTTTTCGTATGACTGTGAAAAGCTCAGTGCCGTAAGCGAGACGTGCCGTGACCGTGATGCTTTCTAGAATTTTAATTGGCTGATTTTTTTCACGCACAATATGATTGGTCGATTTTTGCCTTCACCTTGGCGTGACCGTGTCCGCTCCGTGTTTATGCCATGTTCCGGGTATTTGATTGGATGGAGAGTAAATTATCGTGCAATGTAATTGGCCTGGCGTATCCCTTGCCGTGTTATGGCCATGTTCGTGCCGTGAACTTTACACGGTCATACGAAGACTGCACTAAAACAGCTGCAACTGCTATTACTACTACTGCCACTGTTGTAGCTGCTGCTGCCACCACCGCCGCCGCTATGACAGCAGGAACCCCACCAACAACAATAATAACAACCACACCATGACCACAAAAATACTAAAATAACGATAGCAACACTACCACCATGAGCAGTAGTAGCAAAAACACTGGAAACAACTTTATTTGGCACAAAACTCAATTTATCATTTTATTTGT